ATCCGTCTACTTGGCATTTTACTTAACGCGTTTTCTAAAATTCCTATGTACTCTGTTGGCCGGCACAGAACGGCGCTCCATACTCCCACTGGCAAACTCCAGTACCTCTGTATTGTTTAGATTTGTCAATGCCCCAGCATATTCCAAAGTCAAGCTACCCCGAGCATGTATGAGTCTATCAAGGAGGTTTGGGTGGATGTCAACAGGTGTGGCGTCCAGTATTCACCAGCCGATAAGCTCAAGAGCGCCTCCAGCACCTACGAAGAGCGCTCAGCTGTTGCGGGATAAGAAGCTGAGTGAAGGGGCAAGCAACTGCTAGAGATTCATGTAAATACCCATGCTTCTAAGAGTTTGTGCTTCGGTTGCAGGAATCAAATCAAATTAGGGGAATTTTGAGGTAGCCATGGCGTGGCATTTTCCTCTACGCCACCGTGAGAAAGTTGCAAAGTTCTATGAGTTCTCACCTTACTACAGCAATTTCACCCCTGAAATCCTCGATATGGCGCGCCTTTTGATTGATCAATCAAGAAAAACGCAATATGTGACCTGGATGCAGATGCCGCAGTCTGAACAATTATCAGCCGCCTTTCTGCTTCCAGTACTCGAGCTGCCCTATCATTAGCCCCTCTCTTTTAAAGCCGATTGTCATGACCAAGTGGTGGGTGCTATTCTCTCCCAACAGACTGCGGGTTCCCCAAAGAACCACTTTACTGCTTCCTTTTTCTCAGCTCTTGATCTGAATCAAGCAGCTGCAGCTGTATGTGCGAAAAGGCAATTCGTGCGATATGATAGGGCGTGGGGAAATGCGGGCACACTTTAGATGAGAGTTATTTCACTCTCAAAACCGACCAATTTAATTATTCCAGCGAATTTTTCGAAGCCTCAGCAGTCATAGAACTGTTCGCTGGCTTGACGGCCTTCTCTAAGACGACTCTTGCAGTAAAGCACACTACAGGCACAAACAACATTGTCGCTGGCGCGCTCGGGCAACACCCCAGAAGGAAACCCACTGTTTTGCAACGCAACCGCCTTTGTCTCAGAAGATTTAGGTTTCTTTCAACATTGCGAAACCTCATTCTTTGAAACGACTACGTCATTTAGTATCGCCAAAGTCTAGATTGGCAAAAGGGTGAAACACTACCAGGCTACGGATGACTTGCTGTGGATCACTCCGAAGCGGGAAGCCGGCTGTTTGTACTCTTTGACTTTGTCCCACAGTGCCGGTTTGTGCGAAGCCCATGATCATGCTCATTCAGGCACCATGGGATCCACAAAAAAATGGAAAATGTCCTACGGTCCTGGTTGCCTCTGATGGCTCTCGTGGCAGAGGAGATCGCAGTGGCATGCCCAGATTGTTGGCAGCTGGAAACGCGCAATTTGCCTTAGCTCGATTATTTCACAGGGCCTATTGGGTCCTCAAAGGAGTTGCACTGCTCTGATTATGGACTATATCTTCGAATTGCCAAAGCTTAAGAGAGAGCAAGACAAAAGCACTTCTGTCGCTGTTCAGACTCAGCAAGCATGCCGACTTCGACACTTTTACCAGCTTCGTCGTGCCAAGAAAGTCGTTCAATTAATCTCAACACGTGTCTGAACGCTCCACCGAGTACAAAAGGTATTGTTGCGGATTGCGACCCAACGCTTACTATTGAGCTCTGGAGTGTCTTTTTGATCCGCCTACGCATTGACCATAAGCTCAGGGAACTACCCTGATGTAGATAAGCATACCGAGCGCACTAATTGCAGTCTCCGCCAGAAGTTGGGGAGCCTAGTGGCAAACGTTCATACTTGGCATGATTTTCTCCCTTGTGCTGAGTGATTAGATTCTACTGCGAACACAGGTCTACCCTTGCTCTTTCGTATCCCTGGTCTACCTCGAGAAGCTCCTCCTGACTAAGGACCTAGACCGGGTGGTTTGGGATCAACAGGTACCCTTCGCAGCAAAGGAATTCAAATTACAACTGGCCGGTGCACGCACATGTATACGCACATGTCAGTAAGGAACACACGGAGTTACAATAGGAGTCCTTTAAATGTGTGTTTTGAGCCTGTATATGGCCCTGGGGGATCGGCAGTCTTTGCGAGGTGCACTAAAAGGTGACCTGACGAGGAAGTTTGCAGCCAGGTGGCTAGGACCATATGCAATCCCCTCACTCAGAGGCGCTGTTTCTTGCTCTACCAAGCCCTCTAGGAGTTGTATTTGCCGTTGATCTGGGCTCGCAACGAAGTTTTACCCTCTATTAATTACTGCCATAATTTGTCGCAAGTGATTTTCGTGGAAACAGAGAATTCGCAGGAGGCTGTGAAAGTACTAGTTTCTAAGACAGGTGAGCGCTGAAGACTCACTAAGTGGGAGCTTCTTGTAACGTGGAGTGGAGAAACTAGCCTTAGTACTTGACGGAGGAGCAGTTCTGGGCTTCTTTAGCTCCGGGAGGCTTTGCGGTTATGCCAGCAACGCTAAGTGCCATGGTAGGTATTCCTTGGGTTCCTTGGTATTCGTCAATATTCAGTATACCTGATTTTTCTGAAAAAATTACTTTCATGAATAGGCATCTCTTGAAGAGGTCCTGGTTTTTACTGTCACGTTCTCTTTACTGAGATTCAGGTACACTCTGCTCTGTTGTCTGTACATTCTTTCTCATGTTTCTTTCAGGACTTTGAAATAGGTACTGCCGTATGAGCAGGCTGTCTTTGCACCCAAATACTGCCCTATGAGGGACGGACGAGCTTATTGCATGTGTTTTTTCCCTGTACACAGCTTACGTATCTTCTGTTTTCCCGGTAGCACGTGGTTCACATTTCAACACTCCGACGGCAGTGAGCCAGCACGCTCCCACGATCGTGTTGGTTTGATCCCTCATTGCTTTTAGGAGAGTATATGTGTCTCCCGTAGTGTCAATTTTACTTTGGTGGCTGATACACACATTTGCCTTTCTCCATGCCACTGTTTTCGCGTTTATCTCTCTTACTGGACTGGCGATAGGGCTGGTATCCTTCAGCTGTATTGTACGCGGTTGGTTTCAATAAACAGTCACTGACAGTGATGGCCTGTATTCTGAAGTGGGACGGCAGGATACAGTGGGCCCACATACTTCTCACACCGCAAAACACAACACTCACGGGTGGACACCCCACACGCCTAAGCTCAACAGCCAGCACACACACAACTGCGTGTGTAAAAACAGACTAATTTGTGTGTCTGGTTGTGTAGCTTATTTTTTTATAATAGCGTTATCCCAGTACAATAAGATAAATCATTGTCTGCTTGTGCGCTAGATGCTAAGTACAACACCTGAAATTTTCTAAATGGGGTGATCGTGCAGCTACACGAGCCCTGGCTGCCCCTCTCTTCTCTTGTTGGGAAATAAAAGGAAAGGGAATGGGAATGAAGGAATATTTCGGAAAAGCAGTCAATAAGTTTCTATCAAGTTTATGTTGAGTCTTGAAGTAACTTGTTGCCCTATGGCGAACTTGGTTAAAGCGTTGTAAGTGGCGTGGGTTGTGCAGTAGCACTAGTCTGCCCTGAAACCCACACCTCCAGGGCTCCTCACCTCAGGAATACGGCCTATCTATATGCATTTATGCTCCTGTGAACGGCGATTACGAAGCTCTTCGTTGTATTGTAGCCCACTATTTTTTATCGGGGCCTTGAAGCTGGGCGAGAAAGAGTCAGCTCCATTGAGATGCACTGCATCACGCATTGGAATTAGACGCCATAATCAACGTCGGGTATGAGCATAAGGTGACACGGGTGGAAACCTGTGGAAGAAGGCGCCACCGCATCCCTGTGGTCTGGCGTAGCTGGGTTTTCGGGAAGCTGAAGGTGAAAGTCTTTTAGGCTAAACCTTGCTAAGTATGTGCGGCTAATATTACCCCTTTTCTGATGCTTTCGCGAATATTTCCTGCTAAAACCGTTATCAGCACAAAAAACCGTTGCAGGGAAACCTACGAGGACTTGGGGCTTTCTGCCTGCAAAGTCCATTCGAACACGAGAAATACCGCGCAGCCCTCCTCTTTCACACGACCCCTCAAGAAGTGCAAGCTTGTTACTGCCTCATATCTTTCTCTATCCTCTATGCATGCCGTGTAGCACCAGGCTGTTATCTCCCCCGACTTTCTCTTGCCCAGGCTCCCCCTGAGACCCTTGTCCTTCCTCGTCAGCCCTCCCACACGCACCATCCTGCATTTCAATCATCGAATCCACTCTACTGACAAGCCTCCTTCATGGAGCCTGTCCGACCCCACGCTTCATTCAAGGCGCTCAACGGCAGGATCAACTACCCACGGCTAGACATGACCGGCTTGTTGCTCTGTCTAAGAGGGCACACCTCCCGCCGCGGCTTCGCACTGGCCAGGCGAGAACCGAGACTTTCTTTCTCGCCTGCAGTAGGGGGTCCACCAACTGCAGCGGCAAGGACGATTTCACAAGCTGCCGCTACAGATGCACCAGCAGCACCGGCACTTCGCGGGAGGATTTCCTTTGTATCCGTTACGCCTCCCCGCTTGTCCTCCCAAATGTCTAATTCACCCTCTTCAGTGAACAAAGCCCCTCCAGTGGACCCTCATGGCCCTTCCCCAGCTGAGAGGACAGTCGGTGGCGGGCGCTTACACCCCGAGAGCGTCGATCCTTTCCAGCCGCAGCCGAAGAGGCGAATGGACTTGAAGCTGGGGCCGTATGCGGGAGGTCGCTTTTTCGTGTCTCCTAAGGAGGACCCCAAAGAGTTCATTTTGTGTGTGATTATTGTTTCAATTTGCCTATACACGCTTGTCACGACCTACACCCAACCAGGTGAGCCTCAGTTTCTCCTCCCACTCCACCTCTCTGGCTTCTTGCGATTCATCTGCCGAACTGTCTGTGTCCGATATTCTCATCTGTCACATCGGGGCTTAGTATGGGGGCATAGGGTGGGGAGAGAAGCGTCGGAAAAGTAGGTTGTAACGCGTCTCGCTGCCTCGCGCTCAGGGGACATTTGAGTGTCAATATATCACAGGAGCGTCGCATGATGCGTGTGACTGTCTCTATCGTCTCTCGCTAGTACAGCTAGTGCAACCGCACGGAGCATCACGCATCAAGTGCCGGGGTGAGGGAAAATTTGAGGGCAGCTCTCTCAAGCTAGTGGAGACCAGATGCTGAGAATTTAGGGCTTTTGTGCTCAGGGGGTGAAACAGTCTTTCAACGCCGCCGCCGTATCATAAGAGAGCGGCTCATGAAAGAGGCTGGCATCACACAGGCCGACTTGGATGAACTAGAGGCAGAGGAAGCACCCCTCTCCTAATAGTGACCTTTCCAGGTCCTCTAAGGTCTCTGGGAAGGGCCCTTACGAAATCCGTTGCAACTAAAGAGAAACAGCGGTTGCTGATGCTGTTTGATGGTCAAATGTGCGGGCAGAGCATCTTGATCCGCCAATTTTGCTGGGCGTTCCTGGGAATAGGGCCTGCTGTTTTTGCAGCAGGGATCACACAGGCCTTAGTGAACGAGGGGACAGGGAGATTCCTAGATTACATGGGGCTTACGGGTAGTGGAAGAGTGGCCTCAGGTGTTAGTGGCGGAGAATTACGGGCAAATTGGGGCAGTGCGCACCGGTAGCTTGGTGGCCGCACGGTTCGGGCATATGCGGAGGTAGGATCTTTTGCATGTTAGACACAAATTGCGTTGCGCACAAAGTTGTGTGAAAAAAAATCCCAAGGGCTTGTTTCATTGGCCTGGATCTAAGCAGTTAATTCCTCCGCGCGTTTTGGGGTATTGCGATGCGCGGCTTTAAAGCCACTGGATAGAATTGCTCTATGTTCAAACGTTACCACAAGACTAGTTCGGTCAGGCGACTGCAATTCAAGGAAGTCTTATGGGCAGCAGTTCTGGCTGCTCTTGCTGGACTGTAGTCATGGTAGCAAGAGAGGCTGCTCGTCGTCCAATGTAGATGAGGCTGCTCATGATGCTGCTCGAGTCTCTGCTGAGCGCTCTTCCTAGGACTCGGATATGCGGATACTCAGCCCAAAGTCGGATAATAACTTGGAGGGCGTTTAACTTATGCTCATTACAAGCTCTGCGTCCCCATTGCTCGGCTTCAACCCGCAGACTTGGGGGGCAAGGGGCAGCTGGCGTCCAAGTAACTGGACCCTTTTAGTAACACGGTCAAGTGAGTGCAGTCACATAAAGCCCAACTTCAAGTATGAGGATTGCACATTTTCGGACACCAATGAACAGGAATCAACCCCATGGCCAGTTTTATAGCAAGTCCCCCGTAAACATGACTGGTGGTAGCCTTCTTGGTGTGGCTTTGGTACACTTTACCTTTGCGTCTTCAAAAAACTGTTATTGGCAGAGACCCATTGCATTGTGACACGCTGGCGGTGTAAACATCCTGCACGGATCTAATGGCTATGAACCACGGCATTAAGATCCCCATCTGCAGAACATATATATACCCCTGGCACTGGCGTACCGTGCCAAAGAGAGTGCGCAATAGCAATGCAACTGTCTTCTCTGCGGACCTCGTAGGCTGACCACTGAGCAGCTTGAGCAAGCTGGGAGAGGCGGTGCGTGTGTTAGAATACGGACGGAAGTCCAGTAGCGACGCCTCCCTCTGCACAACCGATTGCGTTAAGGCCAAGCGAACTATACCTACTATGAAACTTGCACGATGGCTAATTTTGTACATATAGACGAAGCAGATTCCCGAAGCTGCATGCATTTTTTATCCGCTTGAAGCTTTTTTCAAGCTACCAACAAGCTAATAGGGAGTTTTCAGGAAGTAGGTTTACGTCAGCACTTTCTCTCTCGTTTCTCCTATAGCTGGCCCCTTTGTGTGGGAAAAGGTCATTGGGCTCTGTACAGACGGAGCTGCGGAGATTATATACAATGTGTCGGCTGAACGTTTGTGTGTGCTCAAGAGAGCACTGGATAATTGCATATCATCGGTGCATGTGGGGAGACGAAAGACGCATCTCCACGTATGTTCCCACATACACTCACACTGCACTTGGTTTGGCACAGCACTCACGGATAATTGGTTTACACTCAGTATGTAAAACGGGCTTTTTACTTGCTAGAACATGTAAGGCACACGTTATATCAGTGGCCTGGTTCGCTTACACACACCATTGAATTTAGTTCAGATAATAAAAACAACATGTCGTTCTGCTTGCTTTAGTTTAAACTCGCACTCAAGATGCCAATCGAAGGAGGGAAGCCTCAGCAGGCAGCGTCTTTGCGTGGACATAGAGGCCTTAGAGAACATTGCATTAACAAATGAGTCCATACCTAGTTATTAAATTGAGATGGCTGCTTTCAAATAAGTTTTAGTTCTACTTACTGCATACCGCAGAACTAATTGGACTGCCGTAACAATTCTTGAGGGTCGTGAAGCTACGAGACAGGCTAAAATGGAGATGGATGGACATATCGGGCTCTGTCTGTGTTGCTCCTTGGAGCCTTTAAGGTATCAGACACGCCGAGTCTGTGGAAAGGATATTCCACCTCTCCTAGTCTGTGAGGCTTCTCCCGGGATCCCCACATAGAGCCCCTCATACCCAAGCCAACACGTTACCCGTTAGCATAAAGTATGTCATCCTCCCTGTCCTTCAACCCAAATTATCCCCCACCTACTGAGAAGAAGGGCTTCAGGGACGTGAGTCTCTCCGACCCTAAGCCATTCAGGCATTACCACATAACCGCACAAATTTATTTGGAGCACATCCAGACACTATATCTTCGCCTAGTTGAACGCTGACTTAACCCCACACTTTGAATAAACTCAAAAAACCTTCAGTCACCTAGACAATGCCTTCTCAAAAAGCAGTAACGCCAAACTCCTCCGCAATTAATTGCAAAAGTGCAGAGGAGCCGACTACGCTCCCCCCTCCCCCAGCATGTTTCACGAGTACAGCACTTAGGGCACCGTCTGATACGGATCGGAATTCGCAGGCTTAGTCAATGGAGTATTTTCTTTGTTCCTATGTTGCAATAAGGCTGCACTACGGAGCAGCCAAACTCAACACTGCTAGGGTTATGCGCTGCAGGTACTAAGGTAGCGCGAGAGAGGACAGTACAGCGGAGGCACCAAAGACAAGAGAGGGGAAAGCAGAGCTTTATTCTTTAAAAATGTGAAGGGATATAACTTAGGAGCATCAGCGGGAAACCAATAAGGAAAGAGATGCATGACGCTCGAAGGCCATGTCTGGCCATGGGGATCGTGGGGATTTCCTGTACTGCATAGCACCACAGGCCACGGCCACGCTGGCTTTTTGCTCCAAATGATAAACAAGAGGAAAGTGCATAAAGAGCCTCTTATTCCAATCTTGAAAAATATCTCCTGAGCTGTAAAGGTAGTTATGTGAACACGCTCAGCAGGTCTTGGCATGGCACGGCCATAAATGTCACCAGGCTTCCGCACCTGCTGCATCTCCCGACCTTCCACAGTAGGGCAGTTTTGCGCGTAATCTTCAAGTTTCCCACTTTATTCCCTTTCTATTTTTGTCCCTTTGTTGCTTTGCCGTGCCTTGTTTTCTTTCTGAAGGTATCGTGGATTACTGCCTCATCTGCACCCGTTTGTCGGCGGGAAACCCCAATCCCTGTGCTTCCCTCTCCATGCTTATCGCTTATCTGGTGCAGCTTTAACGCCAGATATTTTTGATTAGGGTCTTTGGAATACCCGCACTTCATCTCGGGCCTCTGGAGCACACGTCAAGTGGTGGTTCCTGCTTGCTTAACGCTCTTCTCCCGCATCCCAGGAGCATACTACGGGTGTGCAACGAGGAAGAAGGCAAGGATTGCAGAGCTTCATCGTCATCGTTTTTCAACTAAGGCAAACAATGACGCTTTTTAAGCGGTTTCTTGGCCCTTGCTTGGCCGTTTGCGCGCTTCTAGCGTATGCGCCTCACAACGTTGAGGGGGAGGATCTGCCGGAAGTTGCAGTAGGTAGAGGTGTCGGAGAAGTAGTGCACGTGCCGCTTGAGAACGCGGAAAAGGATCTGTATGATGCATTAATTCGAAATGGCCTCTTCAAGCACTTAGACGATGCTCAGGCGGAGTTGCGCCAAAACTTTGGTACCTCGACTTCTCGTCGGATTGCCAGGTGGTGGCATGTGGCGCTGATGCATGAGCTGCGAAGTAAGCGATTTCCAGAATCGTGGATTAGTGCAGCGGCAAATATGCATAAGAAACTGGGTGGGCAGGGGGACTTCATTGCTGCTCTGCACCCCGCCGGCTACCAGGGCAGTTCCTTGAATGCAGCAAGTGGATCGCAGCGCGCAGCTTTCCTGTCGCTTGCGTATCTCTTCCTGACACTCCATGTTCCACAGGAGTTGCAAAATTGCGTCTATGAAAAGAGCGATGCTGCCATTACTGAGTGCCTCGGTAGGTATACAGAGGCCGTGCAGTCTGCCCTGTTTTCGACTCTGACGAGTTACTTCCAGTATATCCCCCCCCAGTACTCCGCTTCCCGCATCCCAGCTGTTGCGTTTGTCCTTGCTGCCGTGTCTCCCTGCCCTTTCGGATTTATGGCAGAACCTGCCTTCATAAAAGCGGCATTGACAGGTGGCAGTGCGGCAAGCATCAAGGCCCTCGGATCACTCAAGCAGGTTGCTGGTTCTAAAAGCTGTCCAGAGTTTAGGAAGCAGCTACTAAGAGCACTGATGATAAGCGGCATCACCCCAGGGGACATTATTCGTGCACAAGGGCTTGCAGATCAGCTGAAGCAGCACAAGGCATCGGCGCGTGACGAGGTCGAGGCAGTCAGCGAGGAGCTGAACAAACTAGGCGAGATAAGTGCTGATCTCTTGGGCGGCGAGGATGAGAAGACGTCGGCACACCTAGATTCAAGCGAGATACAAGAATTGCTCACGAGCTTTCTTAACACGACCTCGCAACAGGATATTCAGGCCTTTTTCGACTCAACTGTCGGTAAAAGAGTACAGGCTGCCTTTCAGGACTCTCAGTCCTCTAATAGTGCGTTTTTGGACAGAGTGCTCGGGCTGGCGGGAAGTGTCAGCGGATCAGTTCCACCAGACATGTCTTTCGACTCGCTGCTGAAGCAGTTCGCCGATACCTTGGAAAGCGAGGCACGCGAGAACCCGCAGAGGGTTCCGCGTTTGCTTCCTCCTGGTGCAAGTAAAAAGGAGCAGGCTGAGGAGTTGCTTAAACAAAGCAGGAATTTCAGCCTGCACGTGGCGCCTTTTATGCCCACTAAAGAAGATGATAAGAGTTCTCCAGATGCAGCAAATTGACCGTAACACTGCTTTGTAAGTAGTCTTGAGGGTTCATTTGGCGAGTTATTGCTTCTGGGAGCGGCCAGCCAGGAATCTCAAAATATCGCTAGCCCAGCACAGGGTATCCTCCATCATCGCCTTGGTCTTGAGCGTGTATCGCTTTCTTATGCTATGTACACGAATGTCAGCAGCACATTATTCGTGTGGTGTTGCTGGAGGTGCTCATTTTGATATGCGGTGCAAGAAACGGCCGGCCTCCTTTTTGCGCGCCTCCACAGTATTGCTTCTGCCAAGCATTGGAGATTGGTAAAGGGCAAACCTGTGATCATCGCTTTCGTAATGGATCAGATGGCTTTGGAGGCTAGAGGGGGAATCTGTTATCGGCCTCCTTGCCGAAAGTGTGGACTCGGGGAGTTTTGGTGCCATTTGTTGTTTTCGGAGAAGTGCATTGCTGAGCGAATTTCCTGTTGCCATAACCAATCCTGGTGTATTGGTGGAGGCAATTGAAAGAGCAGATGGCGGACCGATGTGCACATGCAGCCCTACCTTGGACAAGTTAAAACCACAGGTCCTTTTAAGGAGGTGCAGCAGCACGCTCTTGCAGTATACTGACACAGGATGGGTAACGTTCGAGTACTTCACTGACAATGCCGTGAAGTTGCGACCAATCAGGCATGTGTGGTAGGCAGGGGAGGTGGGTTGGTGCTTTGGACGTCATTCTTAGACTGATGGTTCGCCACCCGTCTTGAAATTTTGGCAAGAGTGGCGGATGCGTAGATTTGATAAGCACAAGACTCGCGCAATTCCGATAAAAATCTTGACAGACAAGGAAGGTTGCGCCGCACAGCAGTGAACTGCTTAAGTATTGCGAGAGCGCTAAAGATGCCCTTTATACACTCTAAAGCTCTAAAGGGGGTATGTAACCCAGCGACACAACTGTAGGGCCACCACAGTCCTGAAAATTTGTCCAAAGCTGCGATGAAGATTAATTGTCGATCGGGTGGTTGAAGGACGTTCGTTTGAATCGCTCGGGCGTTTTTTCATGCCCTACTACGCCACCTAGGGAGCTTTACCCCGCATTGGTAAGCGCTGTTTGCTCTCGATGAGGTGAAAACGATCAGTAAATAAGTGCTTTGAAGATGTTGGAAAAAATTGCACCCAGCACTTCGTCATTCGTGTCGGCTATTTGGAAAAAAAATGGCTCTAATTGGGCAGTGTGAATACAGAACGAATTTAAAGATGGTTGATAAGCTTACTTGCTGCGGCATCAGCTTCCTCTCTCCAAGTAAAAGACTGTTCTTAAGCACACTAGTCAAAGAAAAGGCGATTCGAGCCTACCCAGGTTTGGAATCTGGGTGACCAGATACAAGACCATAAAATTTTGCGACGTTATTGCTGCGTAAAAGTAAACATCAAGCTGTGGGTGCTTCGAATTTTGCCGTTGTGGCTTAATTTTTGAGGCCGAAACACGAATTCTTGATAGCAATTGTTCTCATAAAAAGCCAACACATGTAGATTTACGTGCAGCTGTTTGTCCCACAATAGCTGTAGCGGACGCCGTATGCGTTGTTGGTGCTTTTGAAGGTTTCGGCTCAGTATTAATATCTTATCCATCGCGGCAACCATCCAGCCTTCCTCGAAATGCTGATAGAATTATTACTAAGCTTGACACTGCACTTAGGATAAAACATTAACAAGTCCAACGATTCAGAGGTACTGGAGTTTGCCAGTGATAGTATGGAGCGCCGTTCTGTGCCGGCCAACAGAGTACATAGGAATTTTAGAAAACGCGTTAAGTAAAATGCCAAGTAGACGGAC